CCTCGTATTCTTGGATAATGGGATCTTTGGTTGTCTGTTCTTGTGTAAGAACAAGATACTGCCTGAGAATCCTCATGCACCTGGTCTGTCCACTAGAAGTTTTCCTGCTGACCCTTGAACTATGTGGTTCCCAGATACCAACAGTCTCTGGCCTCTTCCAAGCCTTTTTCTCCAGAGAGGAATCCCCAGGTTCTTCTAAGGTGGGAATACAGCAGGGCATACTTGGAAAAGGAGTCCAGGGTCCCACAGTCTGACATGTATCTGGATGTCATTTTAACTCCACAGCTCAAATCACATGTAGATCTGTTCCCCACTTCCCCTGGCCGTGTGGAATAGCTTTTGTTTCCTCCTCTCTGGAGGATTATCCTCTAGTCTCCTAAAGAGTTGGTGGGAATTAGGTGTTTACCAAACTGGTCACCTCCATTATTCAGGCCAGTACTTCATCCTGTCTGCCCAGATCACTGGGGCTTTGAAGAGTGGTTGCCCTTCTCGGTACTGCCTACCCCTGTGAGTACTCGTGCTAACTGTGTTGAATCTCCCTAAGCCACTGTACCCTCTAATGTTCTTTTGTCCTTAATTCCTTTTATATTTGTTTACTGTCATTTTAACAAGACTTGAGGGGCTGTCCTTATTACCTGAAAGCTCTTTGTAGTTCTTAGTATCAGTTTTAATTTTATATTTAAGTGTTTGCTTAAATACAAAGGGGTATCCTGTCTCCTGGCACTTAAATACAGGTGAGCTGTGTAATGCTTGCTTACACTTTCAGAGCCTTGCATAGATTAACCAGTCCTTGATCAGCAGACAGAGAGACAGTGCCCTAAGTAGGGTTGTTGTTATTGTTTTCTATATCATTTGGCCTTATTTTTCTCGTTATTTCAATGTCTAAATTACATTTTTCAAAACCAAATCAAAATTGAATCATGGAAGATAGTTTCTCTTCTTTTCAAAAATAAGTCCTGCTGAGTATGGTGGCTCACCCATACCCCATAACACTTGAGAAGCAGAGATAGGAGAGTCAGGAGTTCAAGGTCATACTTTTTGAACATAATGAGTTAGAGGCCAGCCTGGGTTCAAACTCTCAAAAAAAAAAAAAAAAAAAAAAGTTAAAAAAAAAAGCCTTAAAATGTTGAAATTGGCCAGGCATGGTGGTGCACGCCTTTAGTCCCAGCATGAGGGAGGCAGAGGCAGGCAGATCTCTGTAAGTTCAAGGCCAGCCTGGTCTACATAGTTCCAGGCCAGCTGAAGCTATAGGAAGACCCTGTCTCAGAAAAACCAAAAAAAAAAAGTTGACATTCAATTGCTCTGTCAATATAGTCTTACTTTAGGAACCTAGGACAGACTACTACAAGTAGAACTCCTTTGGATGACTAATGACCACTCCAATAGCTCTAGGATAAACTTGGTTGTGCAATTAGGCAGCTCATTGTGCTGCAAATGGAATTACATGCTTACTGACACAGCCCGCCCTCAGGCTTACCCAGTGGCTCTTTGCTAGGCTTCTGAGCCCTCCTTATTAAGCCTCAGCTGTCAGAATTTCAAAATGAGGGCTGGTACCAGTGGGCCTTTCAGCCGTGGTGGAGGGAAGGTTGGAGAAGGGAATTTTCTTTTGAGTCTTCCGAGTTGAACATCTTTTTTTTTTTTTTTTTTTTTTTTTTTATTTTGAGACAGGGTCTCCCTGTAGCCCCAGCTGGCCTGGAACTTACTGTAGACCAGGCTGGCCTTGAACTCACAGAGATCTGCCTGTCTTTGCCTCCCAAGTGCTGGGACTAAAGGCATGGGCCACCATGCCCAAATAAAGTGTTGAACATCTTAATTGGCAAAATTCATTCTCTCTTTGAAGATGTACTCTGTATAGCCATAAAAACTACTATGGAGCAAAATAGTACTCCATATTTATATTATAGTTTAGCATAGTATATATTTTTATATTTAGTATGTTTATATTATATCTTTTTCTTAGCCATAATTTTCATATTTAAAAACAAAAACAGGGCTGGAGAGATGACTCAGCAGTTAAAAACACTGTCTGTTCTTGCAGAAGACCCGGGATCGAATTCCAGCACCCACATGGTGGCTGATGACTATCTGTAACTCCAGGTCTAGGGGATCTGATGCCCTCTTGTAGCCTCTATAGGCACTGCTTGTCACAGGTGCACTTAAATACATGTAGGTATAATACTCAGACACATAAAATATAAATAAAATAAAATAAAATAAGAAATACCTCCTCCCTTTTCTGTTTTGTTTTGTTTTGTTTTGTGTTTGTTTTGTTTTGTCTTTGGCCTGGCTCCTTGCAATGCAAACCTGACTTGAATTGATGAGACTCTTTTTTATTTGTTGCACATCAGTGGCGTGAATATATTTGATTCTGCTGTAGACGTTCTTAATGAGTTAATAATGGACCACTATCCTAGACTCATCCAAAGGTTTCACATATCTACAGTGTATGTACTATTATTCTTTTAGGATGCCCAAAATTCTGAGCTCCAACCCTGGCCCCAATTGTTTCTGGTAAAAACTTAAGGCCTTGGGGCTGGAGAGATGACTGAGCAATTAAGATCACTGACTGGATCAGTGATCCAGCTTGGAGACCCAGCTTGGGTCCCCAGCACCCATGTGGTGGCTAATAATCATCCATAACTCCAGTTCCAGGGTTTGTAAACACCCTCTTTTGACCTCTGTGGGCATTGGACATAATTGGTGCACTTACATATATGCAAGCAAGATACTTATATGCATTTAAAAAAAACTGGTTTAAAAAAAATAAAAAAGCTAAGACCTCACAGTGAGAATAAGAGATTTCTGTTTGGACCCATGTTTAAATTCTGATAGGGTATAACCTCTGCCTCTTAGAGTGCTAGTGTTAGTGTTGTAGTTGTTGTTTTATTGTTATAATCTCATAACTTGTATTTCTATTTTCAGACTATCCTGAAATAACTATTAGCAGACAAGTTACATATTTCCCAAGTGATGATGAAATTATTTTGTATTCCAGCTTGCCATTGTTGCTAAATGTAGTTCTTTGGGGGGAAAAAAAAAATTGTTACATGTATTTCTTTTGTGTGTGTGTGTGTGTGTGTGTGTGTGTGTGTGTGTGTGTGTGTGTGTGTGTGTATGTGTAGGTGTGCACTTGGAGAAATCTGGGAACAACTTGTGGGAGTTACTTCTCTCCACTACTTGAGCCCCAGGAATGGAAATCTTGTCAGGCTAGGCAGCAGGTGGCTTTACCTGCTAAGTCATCTTTACAGCCTGTTAAGTGCATTTTCTGCTATTGGGTGATAGCCCCTAGCCCAGCAAACCTGGCATATTTGATGTAGCAGCAATAGCATGTATCTTTAAGAGATTAGTTGACATGTAACATGTATTATTGCTTTGGGAAACAGCAAGGGATTTTCACATATGAATATGCAGTCACTGTAAGTACATTAGAGAGCTAAGCTCTCATTGACCACTACTTTGGCAACTTACTGATAGGCCTATGAGAAAAGCTCTTACACAGATAAACTTGGAGTTAGTACTAGTGTAAATCTGTAAGTTCCACTTTGTTGTGGAGGTCCTGATGGTTTTCTTTCTGAAAAGAAATGGGAGATGTATGTTGATTTCTCTTCTGAGACAAATTAAAACAATTGCATTAAAATCCATGCTGGGCAATTAAGTGAACTGGCCACTCTAGTAGAGGACCCAGGTTTGATTCCCAGCACCCACATGGCGGCTAATGATCATCCTTAACTCTAGTTTCAGGGGATCTGATGCCTTCTTCTGGCCTCCATGAGCACTGCAGGACATGGGTGCACTTACATACATACAGGCATAACACTCATACACATATAAATAATAAAATAAATGAAAAAATGTGTTCTGAAATGATTTTTCAAACATGCCTTGCATCTCCTGAATATTTATCTTTTATATTGAAGTCAAACTGTTTATCAAACTCTTTGATTTAAAAAAAAGTAGTATGACTACAGTGATATGAAAGTTCTTTGCAAGAGTCCTTTACTCCCATAAATGCTGGTTCTCATGTTCACAGCCTCATAGGCCTTGTGGAGGTGGAGCAGGGACCTTTTTTTCTTTTTAAATTGAAGAAACCGTAAACAGGGCTGTTTTCCTTTGTTCTATTTCTCCTCTGCCTACCTTCCCTTCTCAAAAAAAGATTAAACTAGATTTATTAATTTCCATTGTGATTTTCAGTTTTTCCCCTTTATAATTACATTGTAGTTCCCTATAAATCATCAGTGAAAGTTCCTTTCTTCCTGAACCCAGTGTTCCCTTGTCTGTAGTGTATCTGCATGGAATGGGCAGATTTCCCTTGAAATGAGCACTGACCTCAATGGATGTGACATAGTGTTGGAAAGATATTATCAGTGGTAAAAAGCTACCCAGCAGCCACAGTGCTCTAGGAGGAGTGGGACTATGAACTTCACATTTTGTTGGTTTTTATAAGCGCCGTTCAATCTTTTGTTACTCAGCTTTTTGCTGGGTTATTTAATGGGTCCTGGCTACTTATTTTAGGTCAAGTCTGAAGAATTCTATATATGAAAAACTGTTAAATTTTAATTGATAAATGAAAATTGCATATAGCTTATCTTATGGTGTACAACATTCTTTGTTGGGTATTTTGTACAGTCTAGAGCCAGACTGAGAATATTTTTGTAGAATTTTAGTACTAGATCGAGTGAGGGATGTCATAGATGAATGGTTAGAGGTTATTATAAGTACCTGAATTATTTATCTGTTTTGGTAGTTCTAATGTAACAATTTAGCTATCGCTGCATCTCAGACTGAGATTTTTTTTTTAACCATTTCAAGTCTAAATTTTTTTACTTTGTTTATTCCTTTTCCATTATAGCCTTCACTACTATACATATTCTAGTTATCTTCCCATGCCTCTCATAGAAGCTAGTACTTAAAAATTATGTTCAAAGCAGTCTGGCTATAAGCTAAGTCTTGGTTGACATACTGAGAATGTGCATTTGCTAACTTGTAGTAAACACCCACAGGTTTTGGGTCCAGCTCCCAGGTGGTGTTCCTTCCTAGACAACTTGACAGAAGAATTAGAAGAGAATCCAGAGAGCACGGTATATGACGATTACAAATTTGTCACCAAGAAAGACCTTGAAAACTTAGGTAAAATATAATAGAATGTTTTGAAATTATTTCATTCTCAATTTTATGAGTTTTGAACATTACATTTGACTGAGCCAAGTTTATCTGATTTTCTAAATCTCCTCATTCTGCCCAATCAGATACTAAACATATTGCAAATTACCAAATTTGTAGTCTCAGCTCAGAGAAAGGTTTAGCTAAGTTCAACCAACTGGAAATTTTCTATACCTTAATTGGGAAGTAATCCCTTTGTCTTAGTTTGTACTTCATTGCTGTGACAAAACACTCTGACCAGTACCAACTTGGGGAGGAAAGGGTTTATTTGTCTTACATCTCCCAGGTCTCACGCAGTTCATCAGGGAGCCCAAGGTAGGAACTCAGGGCAGGAACCTGGAAGCAGGAGCTGGAGCACAGGCCATGGAGGAATGCTGCTTACAGGCTTGCTCCCTTGGCCCCTGCTCAGCCTGCTTTCTTATGCAACCCAGGCCCACCTGCCCAGGGGTGGCACCACCCACAGTGGGCTGGGCCCTCCCACATCACTCATCAAGAAGATGCCCCTCAGACATAGCCACAGACCAGTCCAATAGAGGCAATTCCCCAATTGAGGCTCCCTCAACCCAGGTGTGTCAAGTTGACACTAAAGCTATCCAGCACACCCTTTTATTATACTAGCTACATATAGAAAAAAATATCAAAAAAGCAATTATATTTTTCAAGTACTGTTGGAGTAGAAGGTTTTGAGAAAATGATAAATCTCTATAGTAACAGGAAATGGCTCAAGCTGCAGGTAAAGTAAATGTTTCCTAGTGTTTCTCTCTCTCTCTCCTCTCTCTCTCTCTCTCTCTCTCTCTCTCTCTCTCTCTCTCTCTCTCTCTCTCTCTCCAGGGTCTCCCTTGTAGCCCCAGCTGGCCTGGAAGTTGATATGTAGGCCAGGCTGGCCTCTCTCTCAGAGATCTGCCTGCCTCTGCCTCCTAGTGCTGGGATTGAAGCTGTGTGCCACCATGCCCCACTCTATCTCTCCTTTAGATTTATTCATAAAAGACTTAATCCAAAGCTTAGAATTCAAATCTTTACATATAAAAGAATCTTAATACAGGTTGACCTTCTAACTTGAAGTCTGAAGTGCTCCAAAGTTCCAAGCTTTTTGAATGCTGGTATAGCACTCTGAAAGTTTCAGGTTTTAGAGTCCTGGATTTTCAATTAGGGCTGCCCAACCAGTGTTAGCTTTCCATCACTGTAGCAAATACCTGAGTTAATCAGTTTACAAAGAGGAAGGTTCTTATGGCTCACAGTTTTTAGATTTGCAGTCCATGACTAGGCACACTTGTGACTTTGAGTTCTGTGATGAGGCAGTACACTGTGGTAAGATGGCATGACATCACTAAAGAGCAGGAGGACAGGGCTGCCATCTCATACTCTCCTTTGAGGGAATACCCTCTTTGCCTTAAAAGACCTCCTACATGACATATATTGCTATCATTGACAAATACATTCAAACTTTGTTAATTAGACCACATTTTCTGAGGAAAACAGGTGACAAGTACATGTAGGCACACAGGTTGTTACATTTCATGCAGTTCTCTCTTAAGGCTTCCTACAAAATATCCAGCCTTGTAGTTTCTAGGAAAGTAGTTTTCTGACTAACCATAATTACTTTGATTTTTTTTTTTTTATTGAGACAGGGTCTCCCTGTTGCCCCAGCTGGCCTGGAACTCACTATGTAGACCATGCTGGCCTTTGAACTCATAGAGATCCACCTGCCTCTGTCTCCCGAGTGCTGGGATTAAAGGCATGTACCACCATACCTGCCTCTTACTACTTTAATTTTGATGAAGACTTGGTAAGAACCAGCCTTCTTCTGATTGACTTTTACAGGGCTCACACATCTCATTGGATCACCTTTTCTCCGGGCATACATGCATGGATTTTTCATGGATATAAGACTCTATCACAAGGTAAATGTGGGCTGCAGGTGTTTCAGTGGTTGATGAACAGTCTGTAGCTGCTGCTTCCGTATTTTTGCTCTCATGAAACATACTTGTGATTTGCAAGAGAGCTGCTTTTCTTTGGTACAGTACTCATGGTATATATGAAACATGCTGCAAAATAATTCTGGGTAATTTCATTCTTTTTTTTTAAAAAGGTGAAACTGATGGTAAATCCATTTGCTTATGAAGAGTATAGAAAAGATAAAATTCGACAGAAGATAGAAGAAACACGTGCACAGAGAGTCCAATTAAAGGTAAAGACTTTTACTCACAATCAAGTTTACAAGAGAAAATAGTACATTTTAATTTTGTGCATTATTTATTTATTTATTTTTATTTTATGTGTGTTTGCCTGCATATATGTAAGTGTACCATGTGCATGCAGTGCCCACAGTAGGCCAGAAGGTGTCAAATCCCCTGGAACTGGGGTTACAGGTGGTTACAGGTGGTTGTTAACTGCCATATGGATGCTGGGAACTGAACCCAGGTCCTCTGTAAGAGCACCAGTGCTCTTAACTGCTGAGCCACCTCTCCATCCCCATGTTTTGGTGTATTATGTGAGGACACCTGCCATCCTGCTCATTGCTATCCATCTTATCTCATATATTTTGCTTTCTTGGTGTACTTTGTCATGAGGAGGTTGCTGAAGTGTTAGAAATAATTTGCACTTGATCTTCACCAAAAGGCCAAAAAACAATGGGGATAATCTAAAGTGACTGACAACTGTCACCTGTACTAGGAGAATCTGGTGGCATTTTCAAACAGATTTCAGTTAGGCAAATGCTCGAACTCTTCTGGTCTCTATTTTTTCCTGGTGTGTTCAGGTTCTTTGAATTCTGGGAGTGCTCAGTAGACAGTAAATCAGGAAACAAATGACATCAGTTATATTGGTGGAGAGAATTGAATGTAAATAACTGTCCACCAGGCATTGGAGCATCAAAAGGCAGAAACCCTGAGGTGAGGCTGAGAGGGGCAGGAAGCACCAGAAGCTACCACCACCTCAGGGCCAGGCAGCAAGAAGGGGACATGAGGAGGACCCAGACTCAGGAGAGGGGTTGTAGGCTGCTGCTATTGAGGGGTGATGGGGATGGTCCTGGGTGTGTTAAAAGCTGAACACCAGAAACCACTGCTGCCAGAGTCACCTGCTGCTCTCATGGCAGAGAACTGTTGCTCTGTGGTTCCAACCAGACAGTGAGCAGACAGGGAGGAGCTTCCTGTCTGTCTACTCCTGCCTTCCTGTTTTTCTGGCATCCCATTAAGTTCAATCACTGAGTGATAAAATAAAGGTGAACATTAATTTAAAGTGTGCATATAATGTACATATACGCTCAGGAAACAAAAGAAACTGATAACTTTTATGAGATTACCTCAATACTTGTTCCATATTCCAGACTATTTGTTCAGAATTTGTCATAGCAATAAGAGAGAGATTGATTTTGAGTATATGTATCTTTATGTCAGCAGGAGAGTCTGGAATGTGGAGTTCTTTTGTCCCAGCTGGTCACAGTACCTGCCGGAGCTGTATTTTACTGAGTACTTTATGTGAAATGTTAAATGGAAGAGGACAGGAGATAGCTCATAGCTTTACCTGAGAGTCATCACATTCCCATCTAGAATTCTTCTTAGGGATTCACCACAGGGGAGCAGGAAGCAGTACAGTGAATGTTATCAGCAGCTTTTAGTAGCTGTAGTTCCACACTGGTTGCTCAAGGAGGGTCCCAGGCTATCTGCAGTTGGCTTCCCAGTGGCACTGGGACAAGGTGTCGGGGAGCATATTCCCTGTAGCAGTCTGTGGTCACTGTTTCTCCCATCAGCTGGCATTCCTGGTGGCATTATTTCCTACCTGAGGTCTAATAGACTGAAAAATAGTCATTAGTTATCCCTTATTTATGAAGTCATAGTAATTTCAAAACTACCGCCCTTTAATATTAAAATTGTTTTTCCCTTGACTAGAAATTGCCAAAAGTTAACAAAGAGCTGGCACTTAAGTTAATTGAAGAAGAGGAGGAGAAACAAAAATCTACATTGAAAAAGAAAGTTAAGGTAAGATTTTCTAGGCAGAGAAAATATTGATAAGCTAGTTTTGCTTTTTATGGATAGTAATGTATATCTGTTTATTATTTAGGATTTTCCCCCCTTGGTTGTAAGGTAAAATGTTCTCAGTATGGGAAGTTTAGAAAAATAGAAAAGAAAATGACAAGATGAAAGCCACTCTTATATAATTCTTCTACCCAGGGAAAAGGATTAGTATTTCAGCCAATTTCCCTCCTGTCTTAATTCTTTTAAAATTATAAACTGTACTAGCAAGATAACCTTGTGTGTTACAATCGTTACCGCAGTTCTAAAGTAACATGGGTGAGGTTTCCCATTTTGTTGAAAGTTCTTTGTAAATATTTTTAATGGCTGTACATTCTGTTATAATTTACCTAATTCTTCTGTTACAAGTCTTTATTATTTTTCTTGATACTGAGTAAGGTTTCTATGTTTTGTTTGTGTTTACTGTTATTTATGTTTATTTTGTGTTGATTCCCCTGCTATAAGTTTTTGTTTTTCTAGTTTCTTCTGAGATACCTTTTTCTCCTTTGTTCTGTTTGGTGAGAACCATCTCATTGTGGCAGGTGGAGCTCATGGATGGATTAATCTGACCATGAGCTCTGCTAAGTTCAGCAGTGCATCTTGGGTGCTCTGTTAACCTGGATGTGTTCAATGACTGAAGAATCAATATCAAGATCCTTAAGTTCAACATTACTCTGCGTTTTTCAGCATGTGCAGCAGTTCAGCACTTTTGTTTTGGGCCACCACCCACACTGTGTTCAGCCCCCACTCTGTGACCTGGGCACACCCACTAGCTCCCATTATACCACCAGAGTGGCATATACCACCACTTCTGTAAAGTGGCATCCTTCGGATACTTGGTGGCTTTTTGGATATACATAGCCTCGATGGCCTGAATAGTTTCACAGGGGTTCTTAAAGTGAACACAAAGATCTGAACCTCTTGATTTACATGATTTTGCAGGGCTGGGGGTCAAGAGGGTAGTGAACCATTTTTACAGGTCACCTTTGTAAGTGGCCAGGTTTGTTTTTAATTCTAGAAGTAACTGGTTTTTGTTTTGCTAGGGCATTGGGGGGCTGTTTACAAGAGGACATGTAGCTACAACCTACCTGCATTTTCTGACTAGCAACAGTAGGCATGGATCAGCCATACTGTGAGTAAAAACACTTTTTTGGTACTGTCCAGAGGTGGAGAGACTTTCCTAGTTTTTTTAGATTTGTGAAGACTCTGGGGTCCTCTCCAACCCTGTTCTCTCACCTGCTGAGAGCAGGCAGGCAGAGAACCAGGTATGGTACAGACTGACCCCATATGGGAGAGCACAGAGTAAAGGGCCTGGCCTTATGGCTCTGGGGTGAGCCATGATTCATAGGAGGCTTCTTGTCTATTTGCTCATTCTTTCTCTCTTCCCTGCTTTCCAGCCAGGGAGGAGTGCAAGTTGTGTAAGCCCCTGTGCCCTCCCAGTTTCTTTCCCTTCCTCAGCACTCAGCCTCCTGCTGGAGGCTGTCTTGCTCACTGGTGTGACAGTGGGTGATAGCCTGGGCTTTATACCTGTAGCATGCAAGGACAGGTAGAGACAGTCTTAGTCTGTGCTTTTTGTGTGAATTACACTCACGGCTCCCTCTTGCTGCCTTCTTCCTTAGCTGCTTCCAGCATCCTGTCATCCTGGCCTATTACATTTATAAAATATATTATTTAAATCTTAGGAAGCCTTGTTAAAGTAAATAAATAGATGGTTTAGTGTTTCCATTGTTTAGTACATGAATAGCAAACCAGTACTGAACAATGATTTAATCTTACTCATATTTAAATTTGTCCATGTACTGTGGCTGTGCATCTTCCTACATGTGTACTCCTACAGTGTGGTAATGCATGTGCTTCCTGCAGTGCTGACTTTCCTCTTCAGAATGTTCACATTGGCCTTGTTAGCTGAGCCTGAGGGTGATTAGAGCCTAAGTCTTCATCCACAATGTCATTTTACAAGCCAAGTGAAAGTGACCTTTGTACCTTCCTACTCTGCAGTTCCTGCAGGAAGAGAGTAGAGCTAATTTAGGCTGTAGGTATAAGCATTTCATATGTTTTGTGCTCAGAGTCCTCAGTATGACAGTGTTATAAAGGGTGGACACTTAGGCTAAAATTCAGTTTTCTTATTTTGTTCAGCGTAGTAGACAGTAAAGCCTTTCACAAAGCCCTGTGATTATGAAGACACAAAAGTGAGCCCATCTCCTTTGCAAGACGTTTTATGTATTATGTGTGCATGAGAGGGTGTTCAGGTGTATGTGAACATGCATGTGTCCTTCAGGAGCTTCCCACCTTGTGTTTTGAGACAGTCCAACACTGGTACCTGGGGTTCAGTGATTAGGCCAGGTCAGTGGGCTCCAGGATCTGCCTGTCTCCACCTCCCCAGCTCTGGGATTACAGGCACACATCACCATGCCCAGCTTTTTACATGTCTGTTGGGAATCGAACTCGAAGCCCTTGGGCTTGCAAGAGTTGAACTTTATGAACTGAACTGTCTCCCCAGCCCCCCCCCTTTGTTGAAGTTGGATGAGTAAACAGTAGTGCAGAATGGTAGAAATGACCTTGAGAGTTCTTGTAGTCCATGGGAAGAATTACCATTGTTTCTTCCCTAATGGTGTCAAAACTACTGTCTGTCATAGATGCATAGGAAAATGAAGATAGACAAGCTGAAGCCTTTTAATATTATTCAGAGCATTAGAAAACATTCTAGTGTTTCTGTTTATTCAATTTTGAGACATGGTCCCACTGTGTAGCTCTGGCTGGCCTGAAACTTGCTATGTAGACCAGTCTGTCCTTGAACTCCGAGATTTCCACACACCCTCAACCCCCATACCCGGCTTTATTTTTAATAATAACTAAATTTTTTTGGCCTTTTTGGGGGGGGGGCGCTTTTTGAGACAGGTTCTCCCTGTGGCCCCAGCTGGCCTGGATTCACTGGCTGGCCTGGAATTCACAGAGATCCTACCTGTCTCTGCCTCCCAAGTGCTGGGATTAAAGGTGTGCACCACCACGTCTGGCTAATAAAACTAAATAAAATATTTTTGATATGGACCCAGCGCTTTTCTTTATCCTAGCAAATTGTCATGCTCTCCTGTTTGGACGGCTTTCTAAAGTTTCATCCTTTGCCCTGTTACTATCATTAAATGTCTCTTAAAAGTGAGTTTGCTTGCTTGTTTGTTTATTTCTTCAATGCTAGGGATTGAGCCCAGGGCCTCATGTATGCTAGACAAGTGCCAGGCACTGAGCCATATCCCAGCCTTTCTGACAGTTCAATATGAAGGGTTTTGCCACTATCACTCTCAGTGGGGTATCTTCCTTCTTTCATTACAAGTACTTTCTGATTTATTTTGAGACATTCACCTCACACTGTCCTCTGATTTGCATCTGAAGCCCTAGCCAGTGTCAGTGTCCACTTTCCCATAGTCAACTCTTCCCTCCCTCCTCCCCCCTTCTCCTTCTCTCCCTCTTTCTCTCCCTGTGCTGCATTTACATCTCTTTTCTCTGCTAATTATCCATTTTGTGAAACGAGTTTATCTTTAGGACACTGGTGTCCCATGAGGACACATCACTGATAGGCTTTCAGACAGGCATCACAGTGGGCCCTGATCATCAGCCTGGCTCTTATTTATACAGGGCTTTATGGAAGTTTGTACCTCGTGCCACTACCACAGATGAGTGATTTCAGAGGTAAATGAAATTTGAACCTTGCTGTTAGGGGCCCTGACTTAATCTGTGGGCACCATGTAAATAGAAGACTTGCTGGATGATATGTCTAGTCAAGCCTGCATTCCCTTGACTGTCTATTCTTGCTAGCATCTATTCTGTAGTTAACAACCAGGATGGCATGTATTTGTTTTAGAGTCTATTTCCAGCTCTGTGCTGTTGCTGCAGTAAGTTAGGGAGGAAAAAGCTTGAAAATAAATGTTACATTCTTATGTCAAACAGCAGAAGCAGCAGTGTCTTCTTCCTCCTACCTGTTAAGAGCCAGTGCTTTCGTTTTTTTAAAACATGTATAAGTGCATTGCCTGCATGTATGTAAGTGCATCCCTGTCATGCAACACCCATGGAGGTCAGAAAAGGGCATTGGATCCCTGGAACTGGAGTTATGGATGGTTGTTAGCCACCGTGTGGGTTCTGGGAATCGAACCTGGGTCTTCTGCAAGAGCAGCCAGTGCTCTTAACCTCTGAGCCATCTCTCCAGCCCCCAGTGCTGTCTTTATAGTGTCTCCTGATAGCAACACTCTAAAGAGCAGTATTTGTAGAATGTGTCCTGATTTGCTTTTTCTATTAACTTGCCAATCCAAATCAGGCTCCATTATCAGCTTAGTTTCATTCCAGAAATACAGACACAGTATACCGTCTTCTAAAAATCTGTCCTTAGACAAAGGTTGTATAATTTGTCATCTGATGGTTTTATCTTACGTGGCATGACCTTAAAAATCAATCACTCACAAATTAAGAACCCTTCATTATCACTGTAAAGAATACTTGAAAGAATTGCTAACTCTCAGCAGATCATCAGTCTTGCCTTTGAACTGAGCCCTTCAAACCCTCCCGAGCTTTACTAGCCTGCTATCTTCTGATTTGAAAGTCAGTATCTTGCAGTGATGCTCTGCCCTGGCTGCTGAAGCTTACTGGAGCACACAGTGAAAGATGTTTCCAATTACTGTTCCATAATAAAATTTAATAAGATGTTTACTGTACAATTGATGTTGAGCCCACAGTGGGAAGTGGCCCACCACATAGTGTCAATAAGGGTTATCTTCATGATATCAGAACTTAAAAACTTGCTGATACTCATTCTAATCACCTTGCAGCAGATAATGCATTGAGTTCCCTATTTGCACAAGCAGTTTGAGAGGTACAGGGACCTGTGCCCCATTTGGTTTGTAAGGATTTGAGTGGCTAGAGCCATTTTTTCCTATGATACCATGCTCTGCATGCCAGCCCTTTCGGTCAGTTTCCCTCTG